TTATATACAATTCTTAATGTTCAAATTATAATTATGTTGAATTTAGAGATCCATCTGGATTTGTAGAAGCTGATCTGCCATACACTGCTGTCTGAATTAAACTAACACCCATATTACTCCTGGGGGAATTTGGCGCCAAAAAATTAAAAATTCTGCAAAATTCTACATATTGTGTCAAAACACCACAATATAATCAATCCAGTTTCAATTTTGGTAATTTATTTCAAAATACCAGTCAACAAGCAGGTCAACAACACAGACAACAGCAAAAAAGATTCCTCTAGGAGTAGAGTTAAAGAAACCCTTACAAAACTCAGTTCCAGTTGGGAGGTGCTGGAGGGGGCTGTGTGAGGCCGCCAGAACTCAGACACCCTGGACCTCCCTCCACCTCCATCCGAGCTAAGCCGCAGGGCACCCCCCAGCCCAGATACCCAGACCCCAGAGCGGTCCCCTGGCCTCTGCACCCAGCCCCAGGGCGGCCTCCAGACACCAGCCCCCTCCCCGAGCCCAGCTGCAGGGTGGCCGAAGCCCAGAGCCCAGCTACGGGGCAGCCCCCAGCATCCAACCCCCTCTCCCCCAGAGCCCAGCCGTGGGGCAACCCCCAGCCCCTCCTATGACTGGTGGATAGCTAACATAATGCCAATTTTTAAAACAGGCTCCAGAGGCGATCCTGGTAATTACAGGACTAACTTCAGCATCAGGAAAATTATTTGAAACTTCAGTAAAGAACAGAATTATCAGACACACAGATCAACATGATATGTTGGGGAAGTCAACATGGCTTTTGTAAAGGGGAATCATGTCACACCAATGTATTACAATTTTTTGAAGGTGTCAGCAAGCATATGGACAAAGTGATCCAGTTGATATAGTATGCTCGGACTTTCAGAAAGCTTCGACAAGGTCCCTCACCAAAGGCTCTTAAGCAAACAGTCATGGGATAACAGGGAAGGTCCTCTCATGGATCAGTAATTGGTTAAAAAGGCAGGAAACAAAGGGTAGGAATAAATGGTCAGTTTCCACAGTGGAGAGAGGTAATAGCAGGGTCCCACAGGGATCTGTCCTGGGAACAGTGCTGTTCAACATATTCATATGTGATCTGGAAAAGGGGGTAAACAGTGAGGTGGGAAAAGTATGCATACGATATAAAATTATGTAAGATAGTTAAGTCTGAAACAGATTGTAAAGAGTTACAAAGGGATCTCACAAAATTGGATGACTGGGCAACAAAATAGTAGATGAAATTCAATGTTGATAAGTGCAAAATAACACATTGGAAAACATAATCCCAACCATACAGTCTAAATGATGGGCTCTAAATTAGCTGTTACCACTCAAGAAGAAAGACCTTGGAGTCATCGTGGACAGTTATCTGAAAACATCAGCTCAATGTGCATAGCACTCAAAAAAGCTAACACTTTTAGGAACCAGTAGGAAAAAAAGAGATAGAAAAGACAAAAAAATATCATAATGCCACCATATAAATCCATGGTACACCCACACGTTGAATACTGTATACAGGTCTGATCACCCCATCTCAAAAAAGATATTAGAATTGATTGAGGGTATGGAATAACTTCCATATGAGGAAAGATTAAAAACAGACAAATTGTTCAGCTCAGAAAAAGAGATGACTAAGGATATGATCGATAATATGACAGATGTTTATAAAATCATGAACAGAGTGGAGAAAGTGAATACAGATGTGTCATTTATCACTTCACATATCACAAGAACCAGATGTCACCCAACAAAATTAATAGACAGCAGTTTTAAAACAAACATAAGGAAGTACTTCACATAACACACAATCAACCTGTGGAACTCATTGCCTGGGGATGTTGGGAAGGCCAAAAAATTTAACTGGGTTCAAAAAAGAATTAGATAAGTTCGCGAAGGTTAAGTCCATCAGTGGCTATCAGCCAAGAATGTCTGGGATGCAACCCCATGCTCTGGGTGTTCCCCTAAACCTCTGACTGCCAGAAGTGGAGACTGGACAACAGGGGATGAATCACCTAATAAGTTGCCTGTTCTGTTCCTTTCTTCTGAAGCATCTGGCACTGGCCACTGTCAGAAGACAGGATCCTGGGCTAGATGGACCATTGGCCATACCGGGTCAGACCATTCTTAACATACCAATATCTCATAAGGGCAATTCTATGCATTAGAAGTTATTTGAGAATGTCAGACAAAAGATAAAGAAAAGGTATTTTTAACTTACAAATCATGTCTAGGATGGCTGCTTGCTTGATACTTGCAGAGTTTTCCTGCAAGAAAATATGTACAGTGCATGGTGAACTGTAGAGCCAGAGTTCTTTATAGAACTTCATTAAAATTGCAGCTTAAAGAAACGCTGTCTGGAATTTTAGCCCCAGAATGTAGGTACTGTTAACATTACTTAGATTGCATTAATGGCGACAGAATGCTAGGCAGTTTCTAAACACAGGAAGACAAACTCCCTGTCACAAAGAGCATATAGTTAAAAAAAGGTTTTGCCAAATCCAGTATTAGCCATGTTTTCAATTATATATTTTTTAAAGAAAGCTATTTGAGTGTATTTATGCACTCCCTCTACAGGAGTTGCAATTTAAACATTGCTATTCTGAACTAGTACACAAGACTTAATAAGTGAAATTAACTAAACTTTATCATAAACAGAAGAGAAAATGACTAGTGTTTCATTATCCAAACCAGGTAAAAGGTGAACTATGATTTTCCTCCCATCAATTTTATTTAGTTTTTAAAATTTCATGCCATCTGAAGAATCTCAGATGCTCTTAGGAACATAGGTAAAGAAGTTTCTACAAAACACCATAGCTATTTTAAACCTGACATTTGTTATCCCATTAAAAGTAGTTTAATAATACTATTTATGGCATTCAGTAAGTCTTTTTGGCTTGCACCTGTAGCTTGCATATTAATACTATAGACAAGCAATCTGTGGAACCAACAGATTTCAATGCCTTTGAAACTGTGCAACAAACAGTAGAATTTAAGGGCACATATGATAACAGACTCCACAGAGGCTAGCCCAGGGTCTGCCCATGCAAATGCAATTATAGGATCAGGCCCCAAGTGTGGAACATTATCACAAGCAGTGTCATATGAAGAAATTTTGTTTTACACCAAGTAAAGTGAAAACAAATCTTGCAGAGGAAATTATTCCATCCAATGTGCTTGTTTGTCAAAACAAAAACAGCACACCTCAGAAATAACACTACAGAATTCCAGAAGAATAAAAAACTATAGGCTTTCTACTCCTTAAGAGAGACAGCATTTTAGGAGTAACATAGGTACATCTTAGCCTTCTAAATGTCCAGATAGAATTGTTTATGTTTAACATTCAGATTCACAAATACAGATGAACTCCAAAACAGCTTCATCCCTATTGAATGGCTAGAATCTACCCAGTGCCATAATACATAACAATTACTCAAAGATTTAACAATAGCAGGCTCTAATATATGATTCAATTAAAGAGCAAGGAAGAATTGAGTACAACTGTGCCTTCCTGTGGACCAGCTGTGTACCCAGCAAAATCAGTTAGGCCAACTCAGTATTCATGCACTATAATCCAGGCACAGGTTAATAGTTTCCAATATGAGAAATAAAGAAAATAAAGTTAATGTGAGAATGAGAACATTTTCCTTCTTAAATGTGTGTCACACATTACAAAAACACCAATACACGCTTCTAGTATGCCATCCTGCTATGCAAATATAATGAAAATGTTTCAGCCTGACAGACCATTCACAATGGATGTTATCACCTCACAAAGCTGCACCACTTCTTGGGAAATTCTTTCCTTTATCTGATGCACGTTTATGGTCTGCAGCTGCGTCTTGGAGAGGAAGTCCCACATCGTAAGCATTTCCATGATTTCATGGCGTGGGATTTTCAGCACTGTCCTTCTGATATACTCAGCAACTGTCTCATCCATTGTGAAGCCACTTTAAAAAGCAATATTAAAGAGTTACAAGCCAATGACGAGGGAAGATGGGGTGTGGATCACTCCAACTGGCCTGTGCTCTGGTACTGGCCACTGTTGGAGACATATCATTGGTCTGATTGGCAATTCTAATGTTCCTCGTACACACTGCAAAGAATCAGCGTATTTCCGAGACTTAGGACATCCGCTCCTTTGAGGGAGCATCACATCAGCTGCACCTTAAGGCCACCGTGACAGCGAGAAAATGCCCCTGTTCTAGCCTCGGGGAGTCACCGCCCAGGCTGCTCCGAGACTGGACAAAGGACAACGTCCGAGTTCCCGTAGTAAACTCCTCCAAGCTACTGCCCCGCTTTACGGAGGGCACGAGAAAGCCCGGCGGTGCAGCCAGAGCAGGGCCGCTCCCTGCCGGGGACAACCCTTCTCGCCGTCCGCGGCCTAACATCCGTCCCCTGAGGCTGGCTCTAAGGAGGGGCGAGGGGGTCGCGGACAAGCGGCGGGGTCCGCGGAGGGAGGAAGACGCGCCTGCCTCGGAGCGGGGAAGGCCGAGGTTTGGGGGAGCCGGTCCCCCGAAGGCGCTGTCTGCCACACGAGGGAGCGACTCCGCCGGCAGAGCCGTCGTGGGAAGGCCCCGGACATACCCGCCGCTGGGGCCCCTTCAAGCTACGCGGCTGGGGAGGCGCGGCAGCGGGGCATCCGCTCCCGCAGGAAATGGGGGTCAGTCCCAGTCCCAGGCAGGACACCCCAAGAGCATTTCCTCAGGGCCAGAGCCCCTCCCGGCTCACCTGTCAAGGGCGCCCCGGCGGCGCCGGCCGCTCGCGGACATGTCACCACAGCAGCGGGGTTCTTTTTCGGGCTCCCTAAACTGCCCGCTCTTTCCCGCCAAGTCGCGCCCGCACCTTCGAAGCGCCCAATCATCCAGCGTCCTACATTTGAATGGCCCAATCGCAAGCGCTGTTTCGCCTCTCCCTCCGCCCCCGTTGGGACGTGCCCTGTGTGAGAGCGGCATCCTGCCGCCGGCTCCGCCCCCTGTGACGCTCCTTCGAAGGGCCTTCCCTCCCGACGTCCTATCTTCTTCCGGGTCATGACCTTCTTCTCTCCCTTTGGTGAAGCGCGGCTGTTGCTGGGGCCCGGCTCTTTTTCCTGACGGAGTTTTCTTCTCCCCGGGATTGGAGTAAGTGAAAGGAGGCTGCGAGGGGAGGGGCTGGCCGCCCTGAGTCCCGCCTGTTAACTCCCCCTCCCCTCTGGCTCAGGGGCGCTTGTTCCTCTTCTCCCCCCGCCACGGAGGTGTTCCCTCCTCTCCGGTTCTACTTGCGTCGACACGGGAGAAGTGGGTGGCCCCTCCCCCTGCCTGCGCACCGGTCCGAGCGTGGCGGGGGGAAGTCACCCCTCCCATCCTCTCTCGGGGAGGAGAAGGGGCTCACTCCCCCCTCTGCCGGAGATCGGCCCCCCCGTGTGCCCAGGCACGCGCAAGAAAAGAGGGTTGACCCCCTGAAGAGGGGAGAATGAATCTCTCCAGGCCCCTACCACAGGAGAAAAGGGGGCTCCTGCCTTAAAACAAACCAGCCCTCCTTCCTTCTCTAGCTATGGTTACAGTCACGCTGCAGGTTTATCTCCCGCATGCTGGAGCGGGTGGCATGGCAGTAAATTGAAGCACGGTGTCGATCAGGAATGGTCAGTTATTTTTTGTCCTCGTCCAAATTTCTTGGTCAAGGTAAAGGCGAGGTCCAGACTCCAAGAGAAACATGTTTCACCTGGCAATAACAATAATTAGAATAAGTAAGTAAAAAAGATATTGCGGACTTTTCAAAAGTGTCTGGTGGCTCGGCTTTGGCCACTGTCCACCTATTGTCTACTCTGGTCTATCTATGTATGTTTAGGTACAGCTTAAGCCTAAAAGTATGGGAGCAGTTTATCCACATTGGCCAGCTCCCTCCTCTGTGTACCTCTTCTTCGGTTTATGTTCATATGCGGAGCCCATCCCTGGGGTCTCTTCATTCCAGGGTGGCTTGCATTCCTATTGGGGCATGGTATGTCATCAATATGGGTGTCAGTGAATTTAACAAACCATTTCCTGTCTTTAAGGATTACTTGACAATTAGAGGGAAAAACAGTCTTATAAAAGAATGTGAATAAGAGTGACTACAAAGCGAAAGAGAGAGAGAGCTAGCTGCAATAAACTTTTGTTATACAACATTGATTTCCAAAGCATGATTCACTGTATGTGGCAATAAAATGTTGAAAGCATTCAAGAAAAAAAATTCCATTACATGAACTGTTGTCCTTCTGTGATTCTGATCTAATGAATGCATCTTGACACTTAGAGAATGGCCTGGCAAAACACCTGTCAGCAAAAGTGATGAAAATACACCCTTACAGTTTGATCTGATAATAAATAGTAAATAAAGCAGTGACCATTTGTCAGTTTGTGTTCAGTAGAAACAGTACTTCCTTAGTACATCCTAGCCTAATGTATAAGATGTATGCATCCCGGTTTTCACGGATGTATCTCAATACAACATACAAATTAACTATAATATAGTGCATTTGCTGGAAAATGTAGGGGTTATTCTTAATTTGACTGATATGGTGTCTAACTATAATAGAATAGTGTGATTTTATATATTCTGACATAGCAGAGTATATACCCAGATCACTCAAAGTTAAGGGTAGATTGTCGTTAACTTTGAGTTCTCTGGGAAATGAATCAATGTTACTTGAATGGAAACTTAATTACTGGCTGCTTTTATGAAGTTTGCAAGCACATATCCATTGTTACATATATTTTTTTTAGTAATTTGTATGAAAATTAACGGTTAATATAATCTACAACTTTGCATCCTTGACATGATAGATGTTTTAAAGTAATATTAACAAGTAGCGTAGGTCCAATATCTAATTTTTTTGTCTTTAAAGTTGTGTATAACAGAATGAACACATTAATTAAAGTTAATAAAAACAGTGCTAGAAAGCCAAACAGTATTGTGAGTGAAAACTCAAAAAACAAATACTGACCAATCTGTTTTGCACTTCTATTGAAAAATGAAAAAATAAACTATCAATCGTGAAAAATAAATTACTATAGCTAATTTGGTTAGCTACACTCTCTCCCCTAGAGTCATAATTAGTTCTTACTTTTCATGGCTAATACACCACCATGTGGACATCCTTATCCTTTTTGTAAAATATGTTGCAAATGCTTTAAAAGCAGCACTGATGATCAAACAATCTAATACCACATGGAGCTCAGATATAATAAAAATGTACTGTGGGTCAGCTGAGATGTTTAAACTTGTTCCTGGTTTTTGTGTTATGCTAGATGAAAAACATGGAGGCAGGGTTTAAGGTAGAATCTATATAAATGCAAGGGTTTCCCTAGGTGAAAATAAATCAGGGGCAGAATTAAACCCCCTGGGCTTTTCTCTGTCTCCAAAAGCTGAGAAATATCATAAGCATCCTTTGTTTCCTTAATATGTGTGTGTGCAACATGTTTATATAGACCGTGTCAGTAGGTTTAGGTAAAAAGGCATCACAAAGCCTACTATTAACAAATATTTTAATGAAGTAAAAAGAAAAGGAGTACTTGTGGCACCTTAGAGACTAACCAATTTATTTGAGCATGAGCTTTCGGGAGCTACAGCTCACTTCATCGGATGCATACCCTGGAAACTGCAGCAGACATTATATACACACAGAGATCATGAAACAATACCTCCTCCCACCCCACTCTCCTGCTGGTAATAGCTTATCTAAAGGTTTCAGAGGAACAGCCGTGTTAGTCTGTATTCGCAAAAAGAAAAGGAGTACTTGTGGCACCTTAGAGACTAACCAATTTATTTGAGCATGAGCTTTCGTGAGCTACAGCTCACTTCATCAGATGTATACCGTGGAAACTGCAGCAGACTTTATATACACACAGGACAGTGGGGTGGGAGGAGGTATTGTTTCATATTCTCTGTGTGTATATAAAGTCTGCTGCAGTTTCCACGGTATACATCTGATGAAGTGAGCTGTAGCTCACGAAAGCTCATGCTCAAATAAATTGGTTAGTCTCTAAGGTGCCACAAGTACTCCTTTTCTTTTAGCTTATCTAAAGTGATCATCAAGTTGGGTCATTTCCAGCACAAATCCAGGTTTTCTCACCCTCCACCCCGCCACACACAAACTCACTCTCCTGCTGGTAATAGCCCATCCAAAGTGACAACTCTCTTCACAATGTGCATGTAGCTCCCGTGTAGCATGTAGCTCCCATGTAGCATGGCTGTTACTCTGAAACCTGTCTTTTAATGAAGTGTGTGTGGGTGGCAGGGGAATCAAGGAAAGCAGTTTATCTGGATTTGAACTTTCTCCTTTAGTGCCTTCCATCCAAATATGGGAACATCGTTTCTCATGCACTAGAACAAAGTGAAACTTGCTGATGTTGGACAATGAAAATAGATTAGTCAATGGAAAATAGCTGAACAAACAGTGTCAGTGATATTAAAAATACTACTTAAAATTTAAGTGTTTTTAACAGTAATGCTTTTTAAAAATATATTTTAACCTGAGAGCTTCCCTTTAATGGGAATTACCTATTATTAGGGAACAGTAAACATTTTATTTAGATGTCATAGGGAATTTTCTACCCTTTTGATTAAAGGTTAAAGGACACCATCAACCTGAATTTTTTAAATTAATTGTTTTTAAATGCAAGTTTTTTAGGGTATCCTTTTAAACAGCATGTCCTCAATTGATTTTTTTTTTTTTTTTTTTTTTTTAAAGATTCACATAGGGTTTTTTCCTGTTTCCCTGCTGATGTTATAAGTGTCAGCAAGGGCAGATAGGTGGCCCATGAGCAGCAATATAAAACATACTTGTGGCCATCTCCCTCTGGGTGCATGTCTGCCTAACAGCAGCAGTACTGAAATAAGACCTGCTAACTTTTAAGCTGCTTGTTGAGAACTGCGGAGGAATCTGTGATTAAGGAACTTTCATCCATAGGTGCTGACTCTGTGGGTACTCCAGGGCTGGAGCACTCACTGGGAAAAAAATAGAGTGCTCAGCACCCACCAGTGGTCCTGCCAATCAGCTCCTCCTCCTCCCTCCCAGCACCTTCTGCCTGTTGGTGACCAGCTGTTCAGTGGTGTGCAGGAGGTGCTGGGGGGAGGGGGAGTAGTGGGGGCAGGAAGAGGCAGGGTAGTGGTGGGGACTTGGGAGAAGGGATGGGGGCGAGGCCTGGGGTAGAGCAGAGGTCGGGAAATTAGAAAGTTGGTGCCTCTGCTTTCATCCTATGTAGCTGTGTCTGGTCTTATGAAGGTGTATGGGGAGGGAGGGAAGGAGCTCTCTAGGTTTCTGTTGCTTCTCAAACCCATGCTTGGGTCAGGAAAGTGAAGGAGCCAGATCTCCTGGTCTTCTTCCACCTAACACCTGACTCGGATTGCTTCTGGCCCCATGTTGGGGTCTGGGTGGGGACCAGATGGAAATGCTGATTCAACCTAGTTCCTGATTTCTTGCCCCATACCCTAGCAGGGAAAGTGTAGCAGATGGCAGCATGCTCAATTACTTGGTCCAATATTTGGGTACTGCAAATCCACCTGTTTATGTTTTTTTTTTGTCTAGTTTAGTATCTTATCATGAACTTCCCTACACTTGCAGGTTTCTTTTGCACACAACATTGTTTCAATATGAGTTTTGTTGAACTGAATAGAAAGAATAGATATAATTCATTTCTTGGTAACTTGGGAAAATCAAGAAAACTTTTTATGGGGAGGTCTTTATGAGCTTAATATATCTGTATGTTTCAGGATTGTTGCTATAGGGGCTCTTATGACTTTAAATGGAGATATTAGTCATTGGAATTTTTAAAAAATATATTCAGAAGGATTTCTGAATTTGGGTTTTCTTTGGCAAAAAAGGTTTAACAGACAGTCCCTGAGGAGCTGAAGACTACTCCTTTTTTCCTGTAAGGAGGTAAAAACAAATGTAATAATAATGCTGTACTACAAAACTTCTCCCTTTCTCAAGTAAGTCAGGAGTAAAATTTGTGTAGTGTTGTTGAATATCTTGAAGTTGAAGATATGAGCTTGACACCATTTTAAATCTCCTCTTGAAGCGCAGGGAACAGTCCTCAAGTTCTCTCTGGACATATAAGTGGAGGTGAATAAAACAGTAATTAGAAGAAAAGGCTTCACTGAAAGGTGAGTGAGTGAGTGAAGTACAGTACCAGCAAAATTGGCAGAAAAATTCAATAAGAGTACAACTCTATCAGAGGAGAGGTAGAGTTTTCTGGTCAGTGCTAATGAGAGAGAGTTTTTAGGTATCCTTCTGGGATGCATTAGCAGGAGTGTTGTAAGAAAGACACAAGAAGCAATTATTCTGCTGTACTCTTTGCTGATTAGGCCTCAACTGGAGTATTGTGTCCAGTTATGGGTGCCACATTTCAGGAAAGAGGTGGACGAATTGGAGAAAGTCCAGAGAAGAGTAACAAAAATTATTAAAGTTCTAGAGAACATGACCTATGAGTGAAGATTGAAAACATTGGGGTTGTTTAGTCTGGAGAAGAGAAGAATGAGAAGAGACATAACAGTTTTCAAGTACATAAAAGGTTGTTATAAAGAGGAGGGAGAAAAATTGTTCTCCTTAACCTCTGTGGATAGGCCAAGAAGCAATGGGCTTAAATTGCAGTAAAGGTGGTTTAGGTTGGACATTGGGAAAAACTTCCTAACTGTCAGGGTGGTAAAGCACTGGAATAAATTGCTCAGGGAGGATGTGGAATCTCCATCCTTGGAGATTTTTAAGAG